CCCAAGTGCCCCTAAGGTAACTTTTAAAAGAAGTAGGGGCACCTGCATGGCTCAGTCAGTTAGGCGTTGGACTTCAATTAGGCCTCTGACTTCACCTCAGGTCATGATCTCGCAGTCCCTGAGTTCAAGCTCCAGGATGGGCTCTATGCTGACAGCTCAGAGTCTGAAGCCTGCTTCAGATTCTGTGTCTTCCTCTCTTTCTGCTCCTCTCTTGCTCATGATCATTCTCTCTCTCTGTCTCTCCCCCCCCTCAAAAATAAATAAACATTAAAAATATATATTTAAAAAATAAAAATAAAAGACAGTAAACTAAAATGTTAGAGACCTCCTCACCAATTTCCCATTTATGCAAGGAAAATGAAAACAGTGACAAACCAATGATATTAAGAAATTATTGTTGATATTTCTGAGAGTGTGAAAATGGTGGTATTGTTATGAGAGAGTCCTTGTCTTTTGGCAACACATAGTGAATATATACAAATTAAATAACATGATGTCTGAGATTTGCTTCAAAAAATCTGGGTGGGCACAGAGGAAACTAGATTGGTCATCATTTGATAACTGCTAAAGTTGGTAAAAGGTCACAGGATTATATCATTCACCCTGATTTTGTATGCTTGTAATTTGTATTTTATATGCTTAAAATTTGCCAAGATAGAAGAAAAAAAATAAAGTAATAATAGTATGGAAAGTAAGTTTTTAAGAAAACCACAGAAACAAAGCCTATACTTCCTTTAGCATCTAGCACGTGACACCCAAATAAATGATGAAAAAATAAAGTACATGTCAAAATTAAAGAACAGTTCCTAGAAACTTCCATAATGGAAGAGCAAATTAAAACAAAAGAAAACAACCAAAGTCAGGCCCTCCTTCATTGTCAAGGAAAAACAGCATGCAAAGTGAGAGCTACAGTGATCTCAGATTTGAATGACTGAAACAAAAGAGGACAACCTCAAAAGACTTTTCATCTCTTTACAAGAAAAGGCCCCACACTTTATTCTATAAATGTTATTCATAAAAATGCAAAATATAATCAAAAGGAACAAAAAACTGTGGCTGAAACTTTATGTACCTAATAACACTGCAACATCATTAGAAGGAACAGCAATAGAAATATTAAGACTCAATTTGATTAGAAAACAAATACAGCAGGAAACAAACACTATCTCAGTCCCAGAAAAGGTCAATTGAACAAAAAATTGTAAAGGCATAGAAAACTCAAATCTTAGAAAGGCGAAGGTAGTATAACTACATACAAAATTTGAATCCTTCAAAACATAATTTCTATCTCTACTAGAAGCAGCGTCAACAATCTCGACCCAGCTAATTAAATGTGCTCTAGTCCAGTGATATTAGCCTATGGGGTTATACGGTCAAAAACAATTTTGTGAGAGCTGCCCATCTAGCCTGTGTACAGAGAAATGTTTGGGTTTCTTTAAATTGACATTCAAGTAACTAGAGAGAAAAATCTAATGGACTAAGTATAAAAAGGCATAAAATTTTCCCAGCAGGAAAAGAAACTGTTATTTATGCCAGTTTATCCTGCTAATGTGCCAAAGAGTAAGATGTGAAATATGTGTTTCACATTCTAGGAATACCAGATTTTTAGCTACCACCTACATAGGAGCTTATATAAAAACATCTCAAGTACCCATTTTAGTTTGATTTTTCTCTTGCCTCTACTCTTACTTGACACAAAATCTCAAATTCTTAATAAAAACAAACTGAAATAGGTACCGGAGATGATTTTATGCCACTAATTCCCATTACAGTATAATACACCTTGCTGCTAATCAAAATAATCTCATTTGCTTTTTGATTACTAATTTTCATTTTATAAAGATTTGTTTTCATGTAACCTAAACAATCGTCTTAATAAACCAAAATACCACATTTCAAAGAGTTAAAAATTCACCTACTTTAAATTTGCTCTCATTAAGATAAGCCCTTCAATCTAAGGATTATTTATTTTATGTTTCTCCTACTCTAAAAGACAAAAGTAATATCACAGTCTGCAGTCATTGTAAGACTGATTTAATACAGTCAACAACTCCATAATGAACTAGGCAATAATGTGTTTATTACTTCATGAAACCCTTAAAAGGTCTTATAAACAAAGGTATTATAAACAAGATCTAAGCCATATATAAATTTTAATTATTACAGCACAAAAACATCTGAATATCAAAAAGAAAAAGCAGCAATTATTTATCATGAACTACTAAGGGGCGCCTGGATGGCTCAGTTGGTTAAGCGTCTGACTCTTGATTTCAGCTCAGATCATGTTCATGAGTTCGACTCCCGTGTCAGGCTCCAGGCTGTATCAGCACAGATCCTGCCTGGAATTCTCTCTCCTTCTCTCTCTGCCCCTACCCCACTCATGTTCTCTCTCTGTCTCAAAATAAATAAACTTTAAAAAAAGAAGAATGAAAGAACTATCCAAATGTAACACCTGAGTGGCTCAGTCAGTTAACCACCAGACTCTCAATGTCAGCTCAGGTCTGATATCACAGATCATGAGTTTGAGCTCCACACTGGGCTCTGTGCTGGCAGGGTGGAGCCTGCTTGGGATTCTCTCTCTCTCTCTTTCTCTCTCTGTCTCTGTCTCTCCTTCTCTCTCTCTGCCCCTCCCGAGCTTGTTCTCTCTCAAAGTAAATAAACAAACAAACAAAAAAAAAAATCTGTACTGTGAAAATAAGTCCCTAGCTGACTGTGATATGCATATTCAACCACTTGAAATATGCTCATCCTGAAGGATGTACACTATGGAATCTCCTTATTTAATTCAATTTATACAATATTCATTCAACTAACAACTATTAGGTGACAGGGAATATGGCAAATAATGAAAATGCACTCATACAGGGGCGCCTGGGTGGCTCAGTCAGTTAAGCATCCAACTTCAGCTCAGGTCATGATCTCACAGTTTGTGGGTTGGATCCCCGCATCAGGCTCTGTGCTGACAGCCTGCTTCGGATTGTGTGTCTCAATTCCTCTCCCTCCCCCACTCATGCCGTGTCTCTCTCTCAAAAATTAAATTAATAAAAACATTTTTAAAAAATTTTTAATAAAATACATTCATATAAAATGGGGTTCTCTGCTCTCCAGGAAAAGGTGCCAACCACATGCCCAGAACATCAAGAATATCTATGACCACAACAGATTTTTTAAAAGCAAGACATCAGCAGTACTGTGTTCTGCTTAAGAAACAAGCAATAAAGTAGTACAGCAATGAGAAAGGTTACCTGTGTGAATTAGAGGGGTTATTTATGAACAACCCAAATTAAGAAGTGAACAAATTCCATGGTTGTTCAAAGTATATTAAGTGGAGCACTGAGGAAGTCTTTCACCAAGAGGGATCTAAACACAGCTCCCACTATCCACCATTAGTGCAATGGGGCAGTGTCTGAGTTTGGGACTAAATCTACTTACAAGAGTTCAAGCTCTAATAAATATTGACAATGAAGGCCATTAAAGCCTGTTAAGCCCTCAACTAATAGAGTCAGGCATACACACAACTAGATTTAATCCTGCCTCCACTATTTACAAACTGTATGACCTTAGGTGAGTCTCTCTAACCTTCAACAAAAAAGGGGGCACCTGGGTGATTTAGTCAGTTAAGCGTCTGACTTCAGCTCAGGTCATGATCTCACAGTTCATGGGTTCACGTCCTGAATCAGGCTCTGTGCTGACAGCTCAGAGCCTGGAACCTACTTCAGATTCTGTGTCTCCCTCTCTCTCTGCCCCTTCCCAGCTCACACTCTGTCTCTCTCTCTCAAAAATGAACATTAAAAAAAGACACACTCTGTCTCTCTCAAAAATGAACTTAAAAAAAGATTTAAGAAAATAAAACAGCAAAAACAGTAATCTACCTAAGAATTGTTAAATGATATTATGCATGTAAAAACACTGAGCATACTGCCTAGCACTTTAAAAAAAAGTTGAATACATATTAGTGATTATCATTTATTTTTCTTTTCTATGATACTATGAGCCCTGGCTCAGTTATTACAGGGGCTTTTAGCAGTACCACCTACCTTCAACTTATTAAAGATTTAGTTTAATCCATAGCCATCTCTTATAATACATCTCAGATTCTATCTTATGCTACGACCCATACTGGGCTAACAGAGGCTTTCCACTATAAAAATGAAGAAGAAAAAAACTTCCCATCCAAAAAGATGCTACAATTCAAATTATGGACACTTGACTAAACAAACCAAATTTCTTCTGAAATTGATTTACTATAAGATACAGAACACCTGTTTATAAAATTTCTAATTGATGTTCAAGACAGAATTATATACATGAAACTAGAGCAGGAAGTTATGAAGAAGGAAGATCAGAAGGAACTGCACAGAGACAAGATAAAATGATTACTAAGGGCAAAAGCACAGCAGGTCTGGATTAGATATTCCAGCAGAACAAACCAGTAAAGAAACAAGACAAAACTCATTTATCCTAGACTGGATAAAAGAATTAAGAAATACAAATGCTGAGATAAGAGAAATATGGAGACCAGATCCCAAAGAAGCAATCTAAATTTTAAAAAAATAATAATTCCAAAGGGGGAGGGGAAGCTGAAGAGAGAATAGTAATAAAGCTTATAATAAAAATAATAATTCCTAACTATACCAGTGACTATTTTTAGCACTTTACATAAACTCTTTTAATTCTACCTTCAAGTAAGTCTATTATTATCTCCATTTTAAAGATGTTTAAACTAGGGCACAACGTTAAGAACCTTGCTCAAAGACCCTAATATCATGGCAGAAATTGGAAACCATGCAATCTGGCTCCTCAGTTTGTAGTCTTAACTATACAGTGTCTCTCAAAAATATGTAATATTGGTGGTTCCTACAAAATCCCTGTGGGCTCCTTTGTAGCTCCTCTCAACTTCAAGCTTGTCCTGGCTTCTAGTGGTCTGCAAATCCTGGGGGTCATCCTAATGCTGCTTGGTTGGGTGACTGCTCTGGCATTCTGTGCTGTCCCTGTGGAAGATGATCTGCATCATCATGGTGGCCCAGGTGGCACAGGAGGGGCTGTGGATGTCTTGCATGGTGCAAAGCACAGGTCAGATGCAGTACAAAGTGTATAACTCACTTCTAATGCTGCCCCAGGACCTGCACACTGCCATCGCCTTTTGCATCATCACCCTCCTGTTGGCCCTCCTTGGTCTGCTGGTCTACCTCACTAGAGCCAAGTGTACCAGCTGCACAGAAGACAAGGAATCCAAGGCCCATCTGATGTTTTTCTCTGGGATCATCTTTGTCATCTCAAGGGTCCTGACCCTGATCCCTATCTGCTGGACAGCCCACACCATCATCCAGGACTTTTACAACCTGTGGGTGCTCAAGACCCAAAAGCCAGTGCTGGGGACCTCCTCCTTTGGCCTCTTGTTGCCATGCCTGCCCCTCTAGGGCTCAAACCATTACATGGCCCGATACTTGGTATCTGCCACACATCACTTCTCGAGGTCCCTCCAAATACCCCATTAAGAATTATGTCTAGAGGCGCCTGGGTTCAGCTTAACCTGGCTCAGTCGGTTAAGCATCCGACTTTGGCTCAGGTCATGATGTCGCGTTCGTGGTTCCGAGTCCCACGTCGGGCTCTGTGCTGACAGCTAGCTCAAAGCCTGGAGCCTGACTTCGGATTCTGTGTCTCCCTCTCTCTGACCCTCCCTTGCTCACGCTGTCTCTCTCTGACTCCCAAAAATAAAAAAAATTTTAAAAAAGAATCATGTCTAATTCTAATAGGGTAGTGGGGACTCCTTTGACAGTACAGCCTAATCTCCTGAGCTGGAGCCATCAAGATAGTGATCCAGAGAGCCTGGGGGTTGTTTTTATCTGAGTGTGTGTGTGTGTGTGTGTGTGTGTGCGCGCGCGCGCGTGCTCGCATACACACATACACTTTTGGGGGGAGGAAGTCTATTTGTAATTCATTTGATAACCTAACCAAGAAATTCAGACTCTCTCTTGGGCTCTGCTGCTGGTACTTCTCACCTTTAAATGATGGAGCCAAGGAGGCAGTGCTTCAGTTTCTGGATCTTTCTCCACCCTGGACATTCCCATCTTGGAGGCCAACCTGGAGCTGTGGGCTAGTGTGAAAGCTGCCTGTTGTTCAGCCTGTCCCTAAGAGTCTCTTCTTACTGGTCAGGCCTCTAGAAATCCCGGGTGCTCCTGAGCCTCATGTACCCTTTAGAAGACCACGTAATAAGTTACCAGAGAATGCCCAACTCCAAGTCTTCTGACCTTTAACTCCTCTATCCTGAGTCACATCTCAGCCGTGCTATACACCCTGACCCTCTCACACCTCAGCCCCTGCACACTACTGCCATCCCTTCCCACATATACATACACCAGTTTTTGCTAAATAAAGCATGCTCTGTTTCATTAATATATATTTTTTAGAAGGAAATGTTTCTAACTGAAGGAAAACCTGAAATGGGACATCTAAAGATTTTGAGTACACAAGAAAAATTAATTAAAACATGCTAATACTTCGATACAGCCTAGTAAAAATGTTTTTTAGAAACACTACAGAAAAACAAGGGGCAAAAAAGAATTATCTACAAAAAGGAAAAGAGGGGAGGAGAATGAGGAGAACCAGGGAGAACAGAGTTAATCTCAGACTTAACCCTTTCCTCTATAAAACTAAAACACAAATTTATAATGAAGTAATCGTTAAACTTTCACAGTGTGAAACAGAAAGATCAAAACCCATGAACCCCATACCTATACACATACAAGACGAAGTCCTCAAGTGGACAAAAATTCAGAATAGAGAACACTCATGTGATATAATCTTCATGAAAATAATTACCCAACTATGTAGTTTAGGTTAACAAGAATCAAAATTTAAAAACAAAGACATGGAAGCTAGTCTACAAAGAACCAAGTCTACAAAGAACCAAGGTGAACAATAAAATCAATTGCACAGTATTAAGTCTAAATAACTACTGCTGATGAGTCCTAAAACATAAAGTAAATGTAAACACTTCCTAAAAAACCTGATTGTAGACACTGAAAAATAACAACTTGGGTCAAAATAATAGAGTATCAACAAAAACCCTAACAAGAAAGATAAAAATAGATACACATTTACATAAGTAAAATTTTTTCCCTTCAAAGTTAACAGATAGGGTTGATCCTTACTATTCACAGATTTTGTATTTGTAAATTCACTCACTCACTAAAACCTATTTGTAATTCCCAAAATCAATCAATACTTACAGCATTTTAGAATCATTTGCAGACATCCACAACGTGGCAAAAACTTTTCAGTCATCTAATACACATGTTCCCAGCTGAAGGTGAACAGGGCAGTGCTCTCATACTCCAACCACTGTCCTTTTCACGGTCTATTTATTGTCATGTTTTTACATTTTACTATTTCACATGTCTCCAACTATAGTGAAGTACTGTCTGATGTCCCTAAGCACAAGAACACTGTGATGTACCATATATAAAAACTCCAATAGACAAGCTTTCTTCAGCCATGTGTTAAATCTATGTATTAAACATATACTAAACAAGATTTCTTTAAACAGAAGTATATATACATCCCCAAAAGCAAGGGAATGAAGAGCAAAAATAAACTATTGGGACCTCATCAAGATTAAAAGCTTCTGCACGGCAAAGGAAACAACCCACAAAACTAATAAGCAACCAACAGAATGGGAAAAGATAGTTGCAAATGACATATCAGATAAAGGGTTAATATCCAAAATCTATAAGGAACTCACCAAACTCCACACCCGAAAAACAAACAACCCAGTGAAGAAATGGGCAGAAGATATGAACAGACACGTCTCCAAAGAGGACATCCAGATGGCCAACAGACACATGAAACGATGCTCAGCATCCCTCCTCATCAGGGAAATACAAATCAAAACCACACTGAGATACCACCTCACGCCAGTCAGAGTGGCTAAAATGAGCAAATCAGAGAACTCTAGATGCTGACGAGGATGTGGAGAAACGGGCACCCTCCTACACTGTTGGTGGGAATGTAAACTGGTACAGCCCCTCTGGAAAACAGTGTGGAGGTTCCTCAGGAAACTAACAATAGAACTCCCCTATGACCCAGCAATAGCACTGCTAGGAATTTACCCGAAGGATACAGAAATGCTGATGCATAGGAGCACATGTACCCCAATGTTCACAGCAGCACTCTCAACAATAGCTAAAACATGGAAAGAACCTAAGTGTCCATCAAAAGACAAATGGATCAAGAAGATGTGGTTTATCTATATGATGGAATACTACAGCAATGAGAAAGAATGAAATCTGGCCATGTGTAGCAACATGGATGGACCTTGAGGGGGTTATGCTGAGCGAAATAAGTCAGGCAGAGAAGGACAAATATCATATGTTTGCACGTATAGGAGGATTAGAAGGAACTTAACAGAGGACCATGGGGGAGAAGAAGAGGGGAAATGGTGGGGAAAAGGGAGAGAGGCAAACCATGAGAGACTCTTGAATGCTGAGAACAAACTGAGGACTGATGGATGTGGGGGGGGGAGGGGGAGGTGGGAATGGAGGGGGGCATTTGTGGGGATGAGCACTGGGTGTTATATGGAAAAAAAAACAGAAGTATATATAAAGCGAAGTAACGTGTTCAGCGGCTGATAAAAATGTTGTGACTAGAAGCTCACAGGAACCTAGTTGTACATGTCGCCTAAGAGCCACACTTTAGTATTTGCTAGTTCAGTGTGAAGAACATAACTACCACAAATGAGAATCAACTATATCCTGAATCTCCATATTGAGAACTAAAGAAAAAGTCTGTTGCAAATATGTTTTCACAGAGCAGGTATGGAACCAGTAGTAGAATAAAAAGAAACTGTGTATCATTTTCTTTATCACTTGGATAAAGAATTAAGAACTATAATCTACTGACACAACAAGAGACCAGAGAAATAAGGCAACAGCAAAAAAAGCATAAAATGTTGAGAACATAAAGCCAGATGGATGATGAAAGGGAAACCAAAAACTTGTCACATGAAAGTGAAAGGATTCCGCACTATACTAATTATGATCCAAAGAAATGAACATAGGCAAAAAAACACAAATCTCTTTAAATGTAAGAACACAAAAATAACGCTGAACTTCTGGTTTCCAGTTCCACAGATTAAGATGCTTAGAAATCACTCCTCTCTGTTGAAGTTCTTACTGTGTTCATCCATTCTTCTTCCAAGTTCAGTAGCATCTTTATGATCATTACTTTGAACTCTTTATCAGTAAATTATTTATCTCCATTTTATTAAGCCTTTTTTCCTGAGGTTTAATCTTGTTCATCTGGAACATACTCTTCTTTTTCCTCATTTGTTTGACTTTCTACGTTTATTCCTGTTTTAGATAAAACTGCCACCTCTTCCACTGTTAAAAGAGTGGTCTCATGTAGGAGATGAACCTTATCATTCAATCATACTGTTTGTCTCTTGAACCTTTGTGATTGTCCAAGCAGCCTGTTTTTTTTTTGTTTGTTTGTTTGTTTGTATGTTTTTAGGGCAATGAAAACACTCTGTATGATTCTAAAATGGTTGATATATGTCATTGTATATTTGTCCAAACTCACAGGATATATAACACCAATGTAAACTATGAACTTTGAGTGATAACAGTGCAGATTATTCCATTTTAACAAATGTACCACCCAAGAGGAATATTGATAATGGAGGCTATGCATGTGTGAAGGCAGAGGGTGTACACCAAAATCTGTGCCTTCTACTCAATTTTGCTATGAGGCTAAAACTGCTCTAAAAACATAAAGCGTACTTTTAAAGATAAAGTAGTAAGTCAGATGCATCCTCCCCATCAGAGAGGCAAGTTCTCCTGGCCTTCAATCCCCACCCAAAATGCTGCAGCATTTGCCAAAAAGCTCACATTGCTCTTTTCTTTTTCTTCTTTTTAAAAACAATTCAGTGAGGGACACCTGGGCGGCTCAGTCAGTTAAGTATCGGACTTTGGCTTAGGTCATGATTCCATGATTCTGGAGTTTGAACCCCACAGCTCACTGCTGTCAGCACAGAGCCTGCTTTGGATCTTCTGTTCCCCTCTCTCTGCCCCTCCCCCACTTGTGTGCATGTATGTGCAGGCACTCTCTCTTTCAAAAATAAACTTTAAAAAAAATTTTAATTAAAAAAATTGAGAGGGTTTTAGTATATTCACAAGGTTATACAACTATCACCACAGTCTAATTTCAAAACATTTTTATCAGGGGCGCCTGGGTGGCTCAGTTGGTTGAGCATCTGACTTCAGCTCAGGTCATGATCTCACAGTTGGTGAGTTCAAGCCCCACGTCAGGCTCTGTGCTGACAGCTCAGAGCCTGGAGCCTGCTTCCAATTCTGTGACTCCCTCTCTCTCTGTCCCTCCCCTGCTCGCATGTTCTCTCTCTCTCTCAAAAATAAATAAACAT